CTGCCATTTCTTTTTAAATGACAGATTAAAAACATTGATTTGTTATATTTAAAAAAAATCTGACAATTAAAGTGAATAAAATAGTTTCCAAATATTATTTAGTTTTTACTGAATATTAAATCCTTCTCGCTTTAAAATTGCTAGTAACCGCAAAATAGTTATCATTAAAAAAAGCATAATTAAATTGACATTGGGTGTATTTTCCACCTTCTGAATGGATTATCACTTTATGATGCAGCTTCTCTTTCCTACAGCTCTCGTCTTTTCTCAGAAATAAGCAGCATGTGCAATGAACCTGTGAGCCAAGACCAGCTATGAATTGAGTTAAATAATTTAACTGATGGAAAAGATAATTAATGGGGGAAAGAGTCAATAGACAGTGTGGACGAGGATGTGTAAGGTGTGTGAATGTGTGCGTGTTCATGTGTTTGTAAAGGAGGGCACAGGTGAAGGGGATAAGATCTCATCTAAAGGCTATGAAAGATTTAACAGCAGGAGAAGACAGGAATGACAATGTCAGCGAAGGCATGCAACAAACCAAGACCCCCAATTATATCTGGCATTTAACTGTCTGTCCTCTTTACTCAGCACCTCCTGTCAAATCAGTAAAATAAGGAATAAATGTCTTTATAGACTTGGTCAGTCATAAAAAAAGAAGTACCATGAACTGATGTTTGTATTTGAGATCTGTGAAACCCAAAATGAAAAAATGGACTGAACCTGACATGAGATTGCTTTAACATCATCGCAGATCTTCTAAGAAATACAGATTTTTAACTAATTTAATCAAAGTGAAACCAGTAACTGTTAAGAGATAAAACTTTACTACTTTTTGAATGACTATTTAACACAATTCTGAGTGAGTTTCACTCTTTCTTTGTGACTTTTTGTTTAAAGAAGTGATTTTAAAAACTCACTGGCAAAGTTAAACACTACATTTTCACTTCCGATAACTGTGTAGGCCAAAAAAACTATTAAAAAACACAACATATTGTTGTTTCGATCTTTGGACTTTCTCATTGTGAGTTCGGAATATCAAAGATTACATTTAAATGATTTAAGCTTTAATTTAAAACATCTGAAGTTGACTAAAGTGATTTACACTTTATCTCCTGAAAAATTCATATAATACAATGCAAATTATATAAATGTATTGGACACAAATAAATTCATAAAAATCTAACTCTACTTCAGTCTAAATCTAAAAAGGAGGATTTGATTTAAACATAGAGTCTCAACTCTCCAAAACCTGATCCTCTTTACTTAAGTAAAAGATTTAGAAAACGCATGCTACTTGTTTGTGGATGTTTAAAAGATCAGGCAACAATAATCTATCAAAAAATTTTAATTGGTTGATAAATCGTTACGAACCAAAGATAAAAGAATAATCCTTAAAAAGAAAAACTGAAATCCTTTGAGATCCCACCTCATTCTCTTTATGTTACACATCGCAAAACACAAAAGAGGTTTTCTGGACAGTTTAAATGCAAATGATAAAATAAAACTTGTTCACCACAAAATGTTTTAAAGTTGATTCAAATCAAACAGTTTTAATGAGCCTTATTCAAATAGTTTGATTAGAAGTCAGTTTTATAAAAGTTGATTAAAAAAAGGAAGATATAAGACATGAAGAAAGGTCTTTAAATGGAAAAAATACTGTAAACTGTTTAGATTGATAGAAAATATATGTTGAGAAAAGTTAATTTCATAAATGCCCATGAATATTTTGACACAAGACATTTAAAACATGGCAATTGGGGCTTTCTTGTTAAAGAATATATTTGAAAAGAGTTGGCTCTTGACCAGGGTCATAAATTTGACCTGCTGTGCAAATTAGTTTGACTCCTTTTTAAGGCCTGAAAATAATGTTCATGTTCAGGCTGCTGTTTTAATACACCGTATCATATTATATTATTATTGTTTAACGTATAGATCCTTGCACAGTACTCCCTCGCTGCTTCGCGGTTCATTTAGCGCGGACTCGCTCTGTCGCGGTTTTTCAAAATAAGATTGGACATGACACACAATTGGCTGATTGATGGATGAGCCACACGTTTGACATTAAATTTTTATTTAAAATAAATTATTTCAAATAATTTAGCACCTGCTGCACCTCTGTGCAGCCCATACTGCAGGATGAACTTCCTGCTGCAGCTGATCTCCATGCAGAGCGGAGAAGTGGGCGTGGCCTAGGGCACTTGCAGGTGGCTGAGAGAAGCGCGGGGCTTCAGGGTATGGATCTCCTGTGATAAACGAGGGACTACTGTATACTGTTTCATTTTATAGTTTATATTACAGTGCTCCTATTTTTGAGCGTAACCTTGAGTGCACAGTTTCATTCCACCTCATGTACCACGTGTGATACAAATGACAATAAAGAACCTTGAACCTTGAATCATAAGTAATCAGAGAGGAAAGAGGCCAGTCAGCTGAGTTTGTGGAAAAAATATTATTTGTCTCATCTCGATTCATCATGCAGGCAAACGTGTTACACCACTAAAAGTTGAGCAGTGATGAAATGACGTGTTTTGTTTCGTCGTCTTCAATTAGACTTTATTCTGGCACGGCTGAGCTTTTGATTTTAAACTGTTCAAGATGTTTGTTCGTTTTCTTGAATATGATTTTGTGACGTTGTTGGTGACGTCAGTTGTGTTGTGCTGCGGTGGATGCAGGAAAGGCCTACAAGATCAGACCGACCACAGGTCATGAAGAGAAGCGACAAGTTAACACAAAGACTAACATGTCAATTGCAAACCGTGCTGTTTTAAAGCTTAATACAGCAGCAAACGTGTAACGTTACAGCACAGCTCTTGAATTCTGACGCTACATGTGTCAAAAGTGAAGTCTTGTGTATCGCACGTTTCAAAAACTATAAATATTCTGATTTTTGTTGTTGTTGTTGTCTTTTTCAGTCTTTTCAGCTAAAATCTCCTGAAATAAAGGATTACCGGTACATTGCTAGCTTTTAGTGGTTTTCTAAGGCAGTGGTTCTCAAACTGTGGTCACCGGACCCCCGGGGGTCTGCGAGCCAGTGTTTGGGGGTCTGCAAAAACAACAATAATAATAAAATTAAATTAAATTTCCAAGCACGTAGATTTTTAACAACGCGTTAAAATACACCAAAAAGCTGGAAATCACATCTACTTTATTCAAAATTTTCTGGGGGATGACCCCAGACCCCCCCCCCCACCCTCCTGCTATTTGCATTCCAGCATCGATCAGTTTACAAATGAATCCGTTACTTGGTCTGACTACTGCTGCTGATTCTGTTCAGTTTGATGTAAAGAGTTTTCTGTAATATTTTGAAGAAGTGGCGATTACATTTATGTTCATTATGTGAAGTTTTAAAGTGGTTTTTGATGCTGTTCATTTTCTCAGAACTGTAATTTTTGGAAGATGAAATGAAAATTTTATTAATTAGGTGAGTCTTAGATGAAAAATACCCCATGTTGAAAAGTATAAAATTTACATTAACATTATTAAAGAACATGTCTTATGTATTTATGTTACACAAATATTTCCATTGCATTAAAGAGACAAATTGAAGAAAATTATTTAATAAACATGAGGGTTATGAGGGGGTCCCTGAAACTTTTTCTCCCTGTAAGGGGTCCCTGAACCCAAGAAGTTAAAGAACCCTGTTCTAAGGTGACACATTAACCCTTCAACTTCCTCTTTTACTCTCAGGACATCCATAAAAAATGTGACCTTTTTAACTCAAACCAAGTTGTTTTATTTAAATCCGGTGCCTGAATTTGGTCAAAATCTTTAAATAAAGACGTAAACACCTTTTTTTCATCCTATTATTACTACGATTTTTCTCACGTCTGCATGTGTCGAGCGGATCACCACAGGGTCAACTTTCAGACAAAAGAACCGTGCGCTCCTCTCCTATTTAATTCCCACAGGCCAATTTATTTCATATCTTTTTGAAGTGGAGTCAGTAAAGCATTTAAGAGCCTGTCTGCTCACAGTTCGTGTACCGTGAACATTACATGTGGAGAAACTGTTGTATCATTAAACACTTGAATCAATGCAAAGCCTGCATTTTTATATTTTTGTTATTTTTTGTCTCCAGTCATCCCCGGACCACAGCTCCTGTGTTCTGCAGCACACACGTCGGCACGCTGAGAGGCTTCAGCACTTCAAACTCGCCTCTGTTGTCCAGATGGAAGGCGTTTTCCAGGCATCTCTACTTGTTTATTTATTAGTGTTAAAGTCAGAGTCCCTCAGAGGACCACAGCCAGATGTTGGATTTTGGTTTTGTTCCACTGAGACACAGAGGATTGTTATCCTCCTGATCGCTTGGCTGTCACTCTGTTCCTTCTCCTTTTGTTTGCAAGCTAACAGACAAAACACATTTTGTTTTCTTGATAATCTTTTGTCTCGGCTCGGATTTTACATCGATTTGATTTACACTCCAAAGTCAAACCATCTAATTCTATCAGTTGTGTTTTTAATGTTTGCTCTGGTTGTACACATCCAAAATCACCACAACGTTTAATTCTGTTCACGTGTGTGTGCATGTGTGTGTGGATGTGTTAATTAATATGCTTAAAAAACACTGAAAAGCAGTTTAAAGCCCTTGAACGAACCTTACTTAGAATTTTTTCAATTATCAATATATTAAAATGTATGTTTTTGTTAATAATGAATATTTCTGAAAAAGTATTTCTTTACTACAGTAAATCTAGATACGTTTTTGCATGAGACTAACATGTTTTCGATCAATTTTGGATTATTTTGAGTTTTTAGATAAAAAAAAACAAGTTGATGTGTCAAAAACAAAGTCTTTGTTATAATTATAAAATGCAAATGCAAAATGCTCAGTCTAAAGCAAAAGCACAGTGACTTGTATTATAAAACGTGTCTGTTTGCTGATATTCCTTGTGTCTGTTTCATAATTTGAAACAAACTGAGTATTTTTTTTACTTTTGGCACAACAAAGTAAACGTTGGTGCCAAACGACGCCTCAGTTAAAGCTGGAGAGAAATGCTCACCTGTCCATTCTTCTTCAGGTCGGCCCACATGCTGGTCCCGTCCCCCCCTCTCATCAGGACATGGTAGGTGAAGTAGTAGATACCGGACAGGGGACACGTGAACTTGCCAGTACTCGGCTCGTAGTAGTTCCCCACGTTGGTCACCACATCGTCGAACTTCAGGATCTCGGTCCCCTCGTGTTGCTTCCGGAGGCCGGCGTAGAAGGCGATTTTGGGAGAGTAGAGGGACGAGCCATAACCGTTGGGTCCAGGCCCCGGTGGACCAGGTGGACCGGGCTTACCAGGCTCTCCGGGTGGACCTTTAGGACCTGGAGGCCCAGGAAGTCCGGGGCTGCCTCTGAAGCCCTGTTTGCCCCTTCGGTTTGGGAAGTCTGGAGGCTGAGGGGAGACAGCTGTCAGCTCTCCCTGTGGGGGGCTTAAAGTGTCACACACCATCTTGCAGCTTCCCAGCATCTCATAATGTGTGCCCCCACCTCCGGACCCTGCCCCCTTGGTGGTGTGGACCAATAGGGGAATGGCCACCAGCAGGACCAGGACCATGGCCACTCCGACTCCAGCCCCAATGACACGTTTCTTTCGGCTGAGCCGGGAGGCGGCCAGCGTCAGGAAGTCCTCCTCCCCTTTAGCTGGAATGGTTGTGCCGGCCAGACTGACCTCTAGGCAGAACGCTACTACTCAGTCAAGAAAGCAGAGGTGAAAAATGGAGGATTTTATGGGACAGGGTGAATAAACTCAAGTTTTTTAAGGACTGGGACAGTCAGGAAGCCAGTCAGGGGGAGAAAAGCAAATAGATTTTTCCCATTTCTTGTTCCTCTTTGTTTGAATCCTTTGTTTGTTTCTGGTTCACAGTGTCTGAGGACTCAATCGAAAGAACGGCATCATAAAAAGGTAAATTAACTTCAAAATATGTTCAGAAAAATGATAAATTTCAGGGTTATTCTTAGCTTTTTTTTACAGCTTTATATTTTGTGGACGTTCCAATCCTTCAGTTTCTCAGGCAGGCAGCTGTCAGGTGGGGTCTACAATATTCCCACAGGAGTTCATCTCACCCACCACATGCAGGGAAAAGAGCTCCACTCATCAGTCTGGGAGGAGAAGAGAAGGAAACAGCTAAAGTCTCAGCTGTTTTCGCTCTCACAAAACGCAAGCGCAAAGGAGGTGATGGGCACACAGCTTTGTTGGATTTGTTTGTTAAAAAGTCTGTTCCTGCATTCAATCAGCAGATTTGTTGCAGCTCATAAAGGCCTGGTCTAAGAGGAGGGGAGTCTGTACTTGGATGGAGCAAAAACTAATTTATCACACGCCCCATAGATTCTCTTACAATCTGGAGAGAGCAGGAAAAAATACACAGAATAAGGTGATGGTTAAGAGACAGTCACTTTGCTCTTAACATTAAACAAATGCAAACTTAATGCACAGATATCAATTAAAAATAGTGTTCATTTAGCAGTTAGAGAGTATGGATTTAGACACTAAATTTCCTAAAGTTGATTATTAATAATTATATATATATATATATATATATATATATATATATAT